GAGAGAACATTTGGTGAATAATAAACTTCTGGATGACTTTCAGTCTGCTTATCTCACCAATCACAGTACCGGGAGAGCATTATTGCGGGTACTGAATGAACTCAGTTCCTTTTCCAGAGGGCCAAGGTTGACAAGGGCCATATGGCTTCTCTTACATTATTGGATCTCTCAGTGGAGTTTGACACAGTGAATCATCAACAGCTTCTCCAACGAGTCAAGGATGAGATGAACATTCTTGGTGTTCCTCTTACCTGGATCCAATCTTATCTTGACACCGAAGTCAGCATGTTATCATAGGAGACAAACAATCTTGCTGTGCCAATCTTACATGTGGAGTACCACAGGGATCAGTTCTGGGTCCTTTACTCTTTGTGATATACATCATATATATCCTTTTCCAGTCTCCAGGTCTGTTTTGGACCTCTTTTACTCTTGCCTTGTGGGTTCGTCAAACGCTACATTTATCACAGTTGCATCCCTCCTCCTCCTCCCCCTTCCAACAATTTCTCCAAATAAAAATACACGTTTAAGAACAGAATCATGTCAAAATGTGTGAAAAACCTGTGTTTAATAAAGTATAAAGTGTATATTTCAATGTCTGCTTCTGTGTATTTGTTTACATCATATGCCTGTGATGACAACCACATTGCCAGTGAACTTGCCAGATTTACTACAACAAGAAGACAAAGTCATCAATATCCCCCGCAATGACAAAATACTCTTCATGATTGTCTACGAGTTATGATTATGTCAAATATTTAGGTGTGTATAAAGAAAAGTGGAAGGAGAGTATTGAAAGGTTTTTAAAGTTCTGCTCCAGAAAGGAGCACTATCACCAATTTCAGTCTATGTCAAACTTGTTGCCATGGAAATGCCAAAAACATTTTATTCAAGATTCCAAAACTACCAAAAGGCACCCGTACACCACCAGATCTATCTATGTGCCAAGTTTGGTGAAGAAACATTGAACGGCTTTAGAGTTCTGCTCCGGAAAAGTGCACTACCACTAATTTCTGTTTTAGTCAAACTTGTTGCCACGGAAAAGACAAAACTACGAAAAGGCACCAGTACACCACCAGATCTATCTATGTGCCAAGTTTGGTGAAGATATAGTGAATGGTTTTAGAGTTCTGCTCCGGAGCACTACCACCAATTTCATTCTAAGTCAAACTTGTTGCCATGGAAACACCAAAAATATTTTATTCAGAATTCCAAAACTACCAAAAGGCACCAGTACACCACCAGATCTATCTATGTGCCAAGTTTGGTGAAGAAATAGTGAACGGCTTTAGAGTTCTGCTCCGGAAAAGAGCACTACCACCAATTTCAGGCTAAGTCAAACTTGTTGCCATGGAAACGACGAAAATATTTTATTCTGAATTCCAAAACTACCAAAAGGCACCCGTACACCACCAGATCTATCTATGTGCCAAGTTTGGGGAAGAAATAGTGAACGGTTTTAGAGTTCTGCTCCGGAAAAAACACTACCACCAATTTCAGGCTAAGTCAAACTTGTTGTCATGGAAACACCAAAAATATTTTATTCAGAATTCCAAAACTACCAAAAGGCACCAGTACACCACCAGATCTATCTATGTGCCAAGTTTGGGGAAGAAATAGTGAACGGTTTTAGAGTTCTGCACCAGAAAAGAGCACTACCACCAATTTCAGGCTAAGTCAAACTTGTTGCCATGGAAACACCAAAATATTTTTTTCAGAATTCCAAAACTACCAAAGGCACCTGTACACCACCAGATCTATGTATGTGCCAAGTTTGGTGAAGAAATAGTGAACGGCTTTAGAGTTCTGCTCCAGAAAAGTGCACTACCACTAGTTTCTGTTTTAGTCAAACTTGTTGCCACGGAAAAGCCAAAAATATTTTATTCAGAATTCCAAAACTACCAAAAGGCACCAGTACACCACCAGATCTATCTATGTGCCAAGTTTGGTGAAGAAATAGTGAACGGTTTTAGAGTTCTGCTCCGGAAAAGAGCACTACCACTAATTTCATTCTAAGTCGAACTTGTTGCCATGGAAACGCCAAAAATGTTTTATTCAGAATTCCAAAACTACCAAAAGGCACCAGTACACCACCAGATCTATGTATGTGCCAAGTTTGGTGAAGAAATAGTGAACGGTTTTAGAGTTCTGCTCCAGAAAAGACAAATGTGCACGGACTGACGGAGTCCATTTTAATACCCCCTGCAAAACGCAATCCCTAAACCACATTATTTTCCCCATGTTGCCTGGCCCTCCATGCAATGCTAAAGCTCTAATTCAGAGCAAATGTAGGTTTCCTCAGGATCTTAATTTATCCATCTCACTGGGGCTCCTTTTCAATTTATATGCGATTATTTACCTTCAAATTATATATATTCAGAGACTGAGCGTCAAGATGTGCAGAACCAGTTTGGGCATCATGACATGCCTGCAGTACATATGGATACATCGAGATACAAATGTGATGTGTAATGTGCACTGTAGAATAAGCTGGAGTGATTACTGCACCAGACTAAACAAAGTCAACTTCTAACAATATTTAGCAATTATCTGCAGACCAATAGTTATCATAAGTGGTGGTGTTGTGCATAGAGCTCAGGGCCTCCTTTCACAAAGCACTAAGGTGGTCGTAAGTCACAATGTTAAAGAATGGGAGTTAAGGTTAACTTTAGTCAAGGTTGCTTCGTGAAAGGAGCCCCAGGTCACAAATCAGTTAAAAGTTAAGCAATGTTGAGCATAAAGAATCCTTGGATGGGTGACCATGTTTGGCGGCTTGACTCCAGAGTCCTGTCCCACTGATACATGCAGTCCAACCTTGGGCAAGCGAGTTTGTTCAAAATTCACTGAGGCAGAAAAATGGGTACCTGGTGGGACAAGTCATGTGACTTAACTTTCTTGAGCCTCACAGACAGCTTGGGTTATCATGGGTAACAATCAGATTGTATCGTGTGCTAAGAGCATGTCCCCGAGTGAGGTGGATGAGGTGCTATGAAAGTACTTATTACAATTATGTTACCTTTCGGAAACAAATACAACTTTAAAACTATCATAACGCAGTTAGCACACCAAGTTTTGCAGCAATCTGGTGTAAAGTTGGCATCTACCGACAGTGATTACATCTTGCCATGCTTAAAACCATGTCAGAATTTATCAGTGAAACAGTTCAATCCTTTGTTATTAACAACAAAACATAATTCAATGAAACGGTTTATTTGTTGTAAAATAAAACATTGGTTTAACAGACTCAATAGATTATTAACTGCATCCATTACAGTAGTCCCTCTTCTCATGTTCTCTTAAATGCTTCCACACAACTCAACTGACAAGCAATGGTTTAGTCATTCAAAGAAATTTGACAAACATACAATACAGCAAAGAACTGAACAAACACTATAGTACACAATAGAAAGATTTTTTTAGTCTGTTGCTATTTTTATATCGCTATTACACACATTGTATGTCATAACAGCAGAGTTATGGATAGAGTTAATAATCTATCAGTACCTGACTGCAACTGATGTTTTTTTAACAGTGAAAACAGGAGAACTCTCCTATTTTGTACTTATTTTAACATATTTTGCTAGTTTTTTCTAGGTTTTTTTTCAAACTGTAAGAAAGCAATTCTGCACCATCAAAAGGACAGACAAAATCATGCAAGACAAATCTTGCTTGCACAAACAGCTACAATTTACAATCCAGCTTCTTTTACAGCTTAATTGTCTTTTGTCCAGATGTTCCCTGTCTAGCTTGACGGTGCAGAAATGACAAACGGAGGAAGTGATGAGAGATCACTTGTCGCCCTTGGACATGGCAGCAGCTTCTTTGGCCTGGTGGGCTTGCAATACAGCAACAGCCTCATCAACCTGGGGACAAAATAACATACTGATTAGCATTTCTAACATTAGAGAAAACACTCATTGACAGCATCAACCTATTCTATATCAGAAACAATCTATAGCCAAAATATTTTGAAAGCCGCTTTTCATTCTCAGTGCTTAGCCAAGTATGATCTATCAAGACAGGAAATTACAAAACATATCAATCCGATACTGTATCCAGTTTTACAGAAAATTCACTCAAAAAGGATTACAAGACAATAAATCTGAAAAAATACTTTTACTCAAAAGATAAACCCTCAATTCTGTTATTTCACTGAGGTAATTATGTCTGGTGGATATTGCAACAGTCTTGCAATTGCAGGTGTTTAGTAGTACACATGCAGAGATAATTTCTTTGCTCCACCTACCTTTTACCTTGAGAGAGACTCGTGTATGACTCCAACATATGAAGAAGTTCTGAGTTGTCGCATCTCGAAACGCAACATATACCAGTGATTTTTTCAGCAAGCTCGGGGTACATCCTCTGGATCAGAGGGAACAGCCTCTCTCCTAGCATCTGCTTCTGTTCCTGTGGTGGGGCAGCAGCCAACATGGAGGCTGTCAGAGGCTCCTGCACTGGGATGACAACCGACTGCTGGGGCTGTAACAGGAGGAATGAAGACCTGTTAGCAACTTATCTTCCCATAACCTCAAAACAGTATTGTAGCTCCTAAACTTCCATCTTGAAAGATTGTTTAGTTCATACATTAGTTCTATTGCATCACACAGAAGACATAACAAAAAACTGGTGGTTGAAAAGATGTTGGGATATAAACTATAGTATTACAACATCCAACTACAACATTTCAACAGAAAGATGTCTCTGAAAACATCTGAGCCATGTTTCAGTCAAGTGTAACGAGAAAGCTCTACTGAACTATGTTTCAGACACTTGAAGACATGTAGGTCAAATATTACTACTAAAAGCAGTGATGTGGCTCTAACATTATCACAAAGATAACAAATCTTACATTTGAACACAATTGAGGTTCTGATTGACTGAAATCACTCTAAAAGCCTAGAAGTATAGTCTTTAAAATTGAAGGATGCCTACTCTTGTGCAATAAAAAATGAAGACAACCTGCCACTTGTCGCCCTTGGACATGGCAGCAGCTTCTTTGGCCTGGTGGGCTTGCAATACAGCAACAGCCTCATCAACCTGGGGACAAAATAACATACTGATTAGCATCTCTAACATTAGAGAAAACACTCATTGACAGCATCAACCTATTCTATATCAGAAACAATCTATAGCCAATATATTTTGAAAGCCGTTTTCATTCTCAGTGCTTAGCCAAGTATGATCTTATCAAGACAGGAAATTACAAACATATCAATCCGATACTGTATCCAGTTTTACAGAAAATTCACTCAAAAAGGATTACAAGACAATAAATCTGAAAATACTGTACTCAAACGTAAACCCTCAATTCTGTTATTTCACTGAGGTAATTATGTCTGGTGGATATTGCAACAGTCTTGCAATTGCAGGTGTTTAGTAGTACACCATTCTCTTCCCACAGAGGTTACTTGTCATATCTTCCTACGAACCTCAGTTCTAATACGGCCATATTTCCCGGTTCTCGTAAAATCCCCTAGCGGCAAAAGATCGCAACACGAATTATCTCCTTCTTTCTATCCAATCAGAACACGTGTTAAATCGACTTAGATTCAACTTGACTAACACAAGCAAATGTGAGGCCACAAATATCCCCCATCTGCCGGGGACTTGTGTTGATGTTACACACAAGATGTTTAATGGCTAGCTTGTCCGTTGTCAACGAGGGCGATGGAGAGACGCCACTGATCCGCAATAACATGACTGAGTTCTGTCTAGAAACGTTTGCGCTTCGCGCAGGGGAAGAGGTTTAGTTTTCTCAAAGTATACGGAAATTACCGAGGCCTTGCGAATGATCACTTCTGAAACGTCACTGATTGCACAACTAAATCTGATTGCCTCCAATCACGAGTCTTGAACACTCACACCATGAAAGGGCCGTATTAGAACAGAGGTTACGTAGGAAGATATGACAGGAGTAACCTCTGTGGGAAGAGAATGGTAGTACACATACAGAGATAATTTCTTTGCTCCACCTACCTTTGCCTTGAGAGACTCGTATGACTCCAACATATGAAGAAGTTCTGAGTTGTCGATCTCGAGCAACATGCCAGTGATTTTTCAGCAAGCTCGGGGTACATCCTCTGGATCAGAGGAACAGCCTCTCTCCTAGCATCTGCTTCTGTTCCTGTGGTGGGCAGCAGCCAACATGGAGGCTGTCAGAGGCTCCTGCACTGGGATGACAACCGACTGCTGGGGCTGTAACAGGAGGAATGAAGACCTGTTAGCAACTTATCTTCCCATAACCTCAAAACAGTATTGTAGCGCCTAAACTTCCATCTTGAAAGATTGTTTAGTTCATACATTAGTTCTATTGCATCACACAGAAGACATAACATAAAAACTTGTGGTTGAAAAGATGTTGGGATATAAACTATAGTATTACAACATCCAACTACAACATTTCAACAGAAAGATGTCTCGAAAACATCTGAGCCATGTTTCAGTCAAGTGTAACGCAGAAAGCTCTACTGAACTATGTTTCAGACACTTGAAGACATGTAGGTCAAATATTACTACTAAAAGCAGTGATGTGGCTCTAACATTATCACAAAGATAACAAATCTTACATTTGAACACAATTGAGGTTCTGATTGACTGAAATCACTCTAAAAGCCTAGAAGTATAGTCTTTAAAATTGAAGGATGCCTACTCTTGTGCAATAAAAAATGAAGACAACCTGCCACTTGTCGCCCTTTGGACATGGCAGCAGCTTCTTTTGGCCTGGTGGGCTTGCAATACAGCAACAGCCTCATCAACCTGGGGACAAAATAACATACTGATTAGCATCTCTAACATTAGAGAAAACACTCATTGACAGCATCAACCTATTCTATATCAGAAACAATCTATAGCCAATATATTTTGAAAGCCGTTTTCATTCTCAGTGCTTAGCCAAGTATGATCTTATCAAGACAGGAAATTACAAACATATCAATCCGATACTGTATCCAGTTTTACAGAAAATTCACTCAAAAAGGATTACAAGACAATAAATCTGAAAAATACTGTACTCAAACGTAAACCCTCAATTCTGTTATTTCACTGAGGTAATTATGTCTGGTGGATATTGCAACAGTCTTGCAATTGCAGGTGTTTAGTAGTACACCATTCTCTTCCCACAGAGGTTACTTGTCATATCTTCCTACGAACCTCAGTTCTAATACGGCCATATTTCCCGGTTCTCGTAAAATCCCCTAGCGGCAAAAGATCGCAACACGAATTATCTCCCTTCTTTCTATCCAATCAGAACACGTGTTAAATCGACTTAGATTCAACTTGACTAACACAAGCAAATGTGAGGCCACAAATATCCCCCATCTGCCGGGGACTTGTGTTGATGTTACACACAAGATGTTTAATGGCTAGCTTGTCCGTTGTCAACGAGGGCGATGGAGACGCCACTGATCCGCAATAACATGACTGAGTTCTGTCTAGAAACGTTTGCGCTTCGCGCAGGGGAAGAGGTTTAGTTTTCTCAAAGTATGCGGAAATTACCGAGGCCTTGCGAATGATCACTTCTGAAACGTCACTGATTGCACAACTAAATCTGATTGCCTCCAATCACGAGTCTTGAACACTCACACCATGAAAGGGCCGTATTAGAACAGAGGTTACGTAGGAAGATATGACAGGAGTAACCTCTGTGGGAAGAGAATGGTAGTACACATACAGAGATAATTTCTTTGCTCCACCTACCTTTGCCTTGAGAGACTCGTATGACTCCAACATATGAAGAAGTTCTGAGTTGTCGATCTCGAGCAACATGCCAGTGATTTTTCAGCAAGCTCGGGGTACATCCTCTGGATCAGAGGGAACAGCCTCTCTCCTAGCATCTGCTTCTGTTCCTGTGGTGGTGCAGCAGCCAACATGGAGGCTGTCAGAGGCTCCTGCACTGGGATGACAACCGACTGCTGGGGCTGTAACAGGAGGAATGAAGACCTGTTAGCAACTTATCTTCCCATAACCTCAAAACAGTATTGTAGCCCTTAAACTTCCATCTTGAAAGATTGTTTAGTTCATACATTTGTTCTATTGCATCACACAGAAGACATAACATAAAAACTTGTGGTTGAATAGATGTTGGGATATAAACTATAGTATTACAACATCCAACTACAACATTTCAACAGAAAGATGTCTCTAAAACATCTGAGCCATGAATCAGTCAAATGTATCGCAGAAAGCTCTACTGAACTATGTTTCAGACACTTGAAGACATGTAGGTCAAATATTACTACTTAAAGCAGTGATGTGGCTCTAACATTATCACAAAGATAACAAATCTTACATTTGAACACAATTGAGGTTCTGATTGACTGAAATCACTCTAAAAGCCTAGAAGTATAGTCTTTAAAATTGAAGGATGCCTACTCTTGTGCAATAAAAAATGAAGACAACCTGCCACTTGTCGCCCTTGGACATGGCAGCAGCTTCTTTGGCCTGGTGGGCTTGCAATACAGCAACAGCCTCATCAACCTGGGGACAAAATAACATACTGATTAGCATCTCTAACATTAGAGAAAACACTCATTGACAGCATCAACCTATTCTATATCAGAAACAATCTATAGCCAATATATTTTGAAAGCCGTTTTCATTCTCAGTGCTTAGCCAAGTATGATCTTATCAAGACAGGAAATTACAAACATATCAATCCGATACTGTATCCAGTTTTACAGAAAATTCACTCAAAAAGGATTACAAGACAATAAATCTGAAAATACTGTACTCAAACGTAAACCCTCAATTCTGTTATTTCACTGAGGGTAATTATGTCTGGTGGATATTGCAACAGTCTTGCAATTGCAGGTGTTTAGTAGTACACCATTCTCTTCCCACAGAGGTTACTTGTCATATCTTCCTACGAACCTCAGTTCTAATACGGCCATATTTCCCGGTTCTCGTAAAATCCCCTAGCGGCAAAAGATCGCAACACGAATTATCTCCCTTCTTTCTATCCAATCAGAACACGTGTTAAATCGACTTAGATTCAACTTGACTAACACAAGCAAATGTGAGGCCACAAATATCCCCCATCTGCCGGGGACTTGTGTTGATGTTACACACAAGATGTTTAATGGCTAGCTTGTCCGTTGTCAACGAGGGCGATGGAGACGCCACTGATCCGCAATAACATGACTGAGTTCTGTCTAGAAACGTTTGCGCTTCGCGCAGGGGAAGAGGTTTAGTTTTCTCAAGTATACGGAAATTACCGAGGCCTTGCGAATGATCACTTCTGAAACAACGTCGCTGATTGCACAACTAAATCTGATTGCCTCCAATCACGAGTCTTGAACGCTCACACCATGAAAGGGCCGTATTAGAACAGAGGTTACGTAGGAAGATATGACAGGAGTAACCTCTGTGGGAAGAGAATGGTAGTACACATACAGAGATAATTTCTTTGCTCCACCTACCTTTGCCTTGAGAGACTCGTATGACTCCAACATATGAAGAAGTTCTGAGTTGTCGATCTCGAGCAACATGCCAGTGATTTTTCCAGCAAGCTCGGGGTACATCCCCTGGATCAGAGGGAACAGCCTCTCTCCTAGCATCTGCTTCTGTTCCTGTGGTGGGGCAGCAGCCAACATGGAGGCTGTCAGAGGCTCCTGCACTGGGATGACAACCGACTGCTGGGGCTGTAACAGGAGGAATGAAGACCTGTTAGCAACTTATCTTCCCATAACCTCAAAACAGTATTGTAGTGCCTAAACTTCCATCTTGAAAGATTGTTTAGTTCATACATTAGTTCTATTGCATCACACAGAGGACATAACATAAAAACTTGTGGTTGAATAGATGTTGGGATATAAACCATAGTATTACAACAGCCAACTACAAAATTTCAACAGAAAGATGTCTCGAAAACATCTGAGCCATGTTTCAGTCAAGTGTAACGCAGAAAGCTCTACTGAACTATGTTTCAGACACTTGAAGACATGTAGGTCAAATATTACTACTAAAAGCAGTGACTGATTGACTGAAATCACTCTAAAAGCCTCGAAGTATAGTCTTTAAAATTGAAGGATGCCTACTCTTGTGCAATAAAATATGAAGACAAGCTGAAATTTAAAGCTACCTGCTGCATGACCTGTGACTGTGGTACAGCTGTTGGGGGATTGCGCATCTGGGTGTTGAACTTGAATCCCTGTCTGGTGGGGGCGTTGGGCAACGCTGGAGCAGCAGCTGTTGGTCGGTTGCCCATACTGGGGCCCATCGCAGCCATGCGAGCATTGGGATTGGTTGGCACTGCACCAGACTGTCCAGTGATTGGCCGGGCATTGACACCTGCACGGACAGCTGGCTGACCAGCTCGTGGGGCAGTGGTGCGCATCTGGCCACTGGCAGGCATACCTTGGAAACCTGCAAACAGCAACAGGTCAGTTTTTGCAGGGTAGTTAATTTACAGCACTTCTTTAAAGCACTTCTTTAAATGTTTCATAACAGGTGGAGACTACTTCCATGTAACCCAAACTATAGCAAAGTTCAGAAGTGACTCATTAGAATTCCTGTGAACAGTCTAATAACTTGTTACACAAGCAAGTGTACAATGTTCAATAACAGGTTTAGCTACATCATTAAAACTGGATTAACTAATGTTTAGTCTAACAAATACTTCTGTACATTCAGCACATACCCAATTTCTTGGAGACGAAAATGTAATTTTTCAAGTAAAATTGATATTTTTATACTTATCCTGACTCATGATCTTTTGCTTATCTCCCTTTCCCTTGCGAATGGTAGTGGAACACTTGAAGCCCTTGAAGTTCCCGAAGCAGACGTAAAAATACACTCACCCACGAGTTACCTCCCTTTTGCCCTTTCCCACGCAAACAGTCATGTGACCAGCCTTACTTGTCACTCTCTCCTGATTTTTCTGCCCATGCACTTGGATCTGCTGTGAAATCCAAAGTGTTTCAAGCGGGCAGGTTTAGATACATCCTGTATCCCCCCATGGGAACTGCGAAATGGCATTTCCGTGATCCTATTCTTCCAACTTTCTTTATAACTCGGGAGGACCACTTTCTTGTCTTACTTCCATCTCAGACAAGTTGAATTATCTTGATTCATGTGGCTTAAGATATACTAGTATCTTCTTTTTACTAGATATCTATAACAACCCATAGATTAAGATAAGATCTTTGTCATAAATGAGTTGCGACCCCTTCACGTACAGGTAAGATCCTTACCCGTACAGCATCTTTAATCACTGATGCTAGTCTGTCCTAGACTGTGTGCATGGACTTTCAAACTAATACTTTTCCTTAGTAAAAGTTATCAACAAGTCAACGTGATAAAGGGTGATATTTTCCAACTCAGCGCCTTTGAGGAACCGTTAGTTGCTGTGCTACAACGAGAGGCCCAAATTGGTGAATGCCTGAGACGTCTTCGGTGGCTATGTCTCAGAGGTAGTGGTTGGCAAACACCATGTCCGACTTCCAAAAGCAGCCCTCCATAATTGCTGATATAGAGCAATTCCCATGCAGAGCTAGTGTTGATGCCAGTGCTCTGACTTCGTGTGAGTTGGAAGCTCTTGGAGGTTCTAGTCCTGCTGCTTTGTAGGCTCTCAATATAACGGCTCTCATCTAAAATGATATCGTCCATTCTTGAGACTTCAGCTGATGTCTCTGTGGATAATGGGATGAACAGGCGCTTGCATTTTCGTCTCCTTGTCTTAAGTCTTTTGAAGATATATCTTCAGGGCGCTGACCGGACACAAGAATAGGTCCTCTATATTCTCTGGTCCGAGGATTGTAGATAGCGCTGGTAATGCGGAACTGTCTATCTGGCTGACTGACCAGGTGGGTTGGTTCTGGTAATGAAGTCCCATCTAAGTCCTAGATGAACTGCAGCATGTTGCCCCTTGTCGAATCTGGTTCTGACCAAAGTCCAGCGCGTGTATCTCTGATATTCAAGCTGCCGTGGCTAGCGCAGGAACAGAGTCTTCTGTGTCAGCAACACGAAGGTAGTCTGGTCTAGGAGGTTCGTAGGCATCACTTGTAAGATGCCGTGTAGAATTACATTCAGATCCCAGGCCGGAGCTCTGAACTTCTTTGCTGGTCCTCCAGTTTAAAAGATCTCAGCAGAGCAAGTAATTCTGGTACTTTCATCAACTTGATGCCTGTTTTCATGGTAACCACTGTACTGATGGCATCGAGGTATGTAGATAATGTCGAACCTTTCAGATGTCTAGTCTGCCTAAGATGACACAGGTATTCCGCCACTTAAGGATGAGTAACTTTCATAGCAATGAAGCCTTTCCGCCTTGCTGAAGTCTCAAACTTCAGCCACTTGTCATTATACAGGTTACGAGTAGATCTACGTAACGCTAGTGTTACTGCCTTGGCTGCCCTAGCGGAGTATCCTCTCTTCTTCAAACATGTTTTGATACGGTCCACACGTGTAGCTGGAACAGTGTTGGGTCCCGTGGACTTGCTTGGTGTGCGGATGTATGAGTAGGTTCGGCCAATCTGGTAACTTGATTGTTGGACTTCCGAGATCTTCTATTAGGTCTAGGAACTATACTCGCGCTGGCCAGTATGGCGCGACCAAAGTCAGTTGTAGCGCCTGCGTCTGTTTGATCTTCAACAGTACTTTCGGTAGTAATATCAGTGGTGGAAACGCATATGCGTTTAGTTCTTCCCATGATATGCTCAGTGCATCTGTTGCCCAGGCTTGAGGATCTGGAACTGGTGAGACAAATGTCTGTAGTTGTTTGTTGAACCTCGTGGCAAACAGGTCTATGCATGGGCATCCTATTTCCCTTATGATGAGCCGAAATGCTTCTGGATGGAGCATCCATTCCGTAGACGGGTGCAGTGGTCGGGAGAGAGCATCTGCAAGCACGTTCTTGGCTCCGGGTATGTGACACACCTTTATCCAGATGTTTGCCTCCTCCGTGATGTCAAACACTGGAATGTGAGCTGTAGCAGGCTTGGTGATCTTGTAGATCCTTGCCGATTTATGGAGACACTGTAGAGTCGACCATCAGCATTCTGTTGATCAGCAAGCTCGACCATAGTTGTAAAGTGTTGATCACAGCTTTCATCTCCAGCAGATTGATGTGAAGATGCTGCTCTGTTTTGGACCACTTCCTTGATGCAACTAGATTGTTGAGATGTGCACCCCAACCTTGTATCAATGGGTCTATGTAGAGATGTGTGTCAAAGGCCGGTTTCCAGTAAATAGGTCCCTCCGCAGACGCTCGACCTGTGGGTCCACCAAAGTAGGTACCTCTTAAGATTGTCTGGCAGCAAGATAGGGTCAACGCTGTCCAGATGTTTTGTTGCAGCGGCCTTAGTTGTAACCTTCCTGTGCGAGTCAAGTCTTGCGCCGAGGTAAGTAGACAGAGTAGACATTGCCATGTTCGTAGTGTTAAAGGAGAGATGACTGCTTGTGGAATCATGGCTTGTATCTTGACCAAATGATCTTCTGGGGCCACAATTCAATTCTGTGTTGTGATAATTCTTATTCCCAGCAATTGAAGATCTTGTTTGATTCTAACTCCAACTTCATCAGGTTCACTAGCCATCCTAGTTGCGTGAGCAACTTAATTGTGAAGTTCAGCTGCTGTCTAATTGATTGGCACTTTGAAGAACCTGTATGCTGTCATCAGATAACCAGAACTGCGTAGACCTCGATGCTGCAGATAGGTGCCGATACGCTTGGTTATTCCTATGAAAAGGGAGAGAGTGACAAGTAAGGCTGGCCACATGACTGTTTGCGCGGGAAAGAGCAAAAGGGAGGTAACTCGTGGGTGAGTGTAGTTTTACGTCCGCTTCAGGAACATCAAGGGATTCAAGTGTTCCACTACCATTCGCAAGGGAAAGGGAGATAAGCAAAAGATCATGAGTCAGGATAAGAAAAAATAAAGACTTCTGAAATGCTCCTACAAGCTTTTTACAATAGAAGGGTCAACTGGCTCAACATTTCAACTCACCAGCAGTTGGCTGCATGGGTCGGACTTGTGTCTGCCACCTGGGACTGGCTCTGACCTGGGGCATCTGTGTTGGTGCAAAGAATCCACGATGGGCTTGGGGCATGGTGGGCACAAAGTAACCTGCTCCAGTTGGCTGGAACATCTCGTTAAACTGTGGGGTTTGCTGAAGAAGACAATTGCAAATATTTAACTAATCATTCACATCAAAACTAATTGTGAACCTGAGCTTTTTATATTACTTTCAATGTGTCAACTATAGAAGGAGAGTTAAGTGTAGTGTAAATACGGATTCCCAAAGGTTAAATGCACAACCTGTTTATGTCATGTAATTTCAATAAGCGGATGCAGAATATCCTTCACACAGTAGGGAAATAGGTTATAATTAGTGATAATTTACCATGCGAGGCAAAATGTTGCTTGAGCTATTTCAAACAATTACAGACAAAAGTTTGCCTATTCATTATGAACTTTGGTGAATTTATTGTCAGGTGACTTGTAACATATCAAAAGTTGAGATTAACCGAGCGTTTTTGTAAAAGGTCATACCTTGGCACTCATGATCTTGCCACATGGATCAAACAATTCCCTAATCTTGTCATCATCTAACGCGTCTTTGAAGTTCTTGATGTAAACATTGTTGAAGCGTTTCATCTTGTCTCCAAGGAGGGCGATTCGCTCTTTCCTAGGGATGAACTTGCCAACATACCTGTTACAAAGAGGAGAAAGAAAAGTAAGGAAAGCTGCTTAAATGCATTTTGTGTACAAAATGTACTACATTATACATGTAAAATTGTAGTTCATGCACAAGAAACTTTCTTTAGAATGTACTTGTTTGAATTCTCAGTTTAAAACCATGACTCTAGCATTTCCAGGTGATATAAAATACCCCTAACCAACATTTCTGGAAAGAAACAAGTATCTTCACGTTCCATTTAGAGTCACTTTGAAACCTGTAACTAGCATGCAGAAATGTCAGACCATGCCGAAAAGACTAGTTTCATGTATGCAAAACCAGAACTGATTTAATTCATAGAACTAAACGTTTAAAGGCTTTGAATGGCATTCATATGCAAATGAGGAACGTATGGACATGAATTTCTGTAATGAGGAACAACGTTTCAGAGTATGTCCTTAATCCTCCACCTGATGAAGTAATGAGGTAATGTACTCTGAAATGTTCATCATATTACAAAGTTGATGTCCATCAATTCCCCTTCAATTCAATGTGATCAAAAAGCAGCCAGACCGAAATCTCCCAGTGCATTATAATAGTGGTTAACCCCATAGGATCTTCCACAAAGTATGAACAGACATGTAATCATGGGCAAGAGAAAACCTGTGTTAGGATTTATTGTGAGTGAGTGAGTGAATTTGGTTTTACGCCGCTTTAGCAATATTCCAGCAATATCATGGCGGGGGACACCAGAAATGGGCTTCACACTATATACCCATGTGGGGATTCGAACCCGTGTCGTCGGCGTGACAAGCGAACGCTTTAACCACTAGGCTACCCCACCGCCCCAGGATTTATTGTGACTAACATTGCACATCATTATTAGACAGCACCATGACCACTATATGCAACTGAATGCACTCATGCTCCTCAGTATCAAAGATGTCATCTGACAACTAAACAGGTAAGGATTGGTGACTTTTGGGTCACCAACACAATGCAAACATCTTTGGTATCAACCGAAGCGACGAGCATGGCATGGAATCAATACCATACGGCTGAATCAGCTTCCCAGGAACATGCAGGTGGTCAACACTGTTCCAAAACAGTAAAACCATTATCTCTTATCTGCAGAGACATTACTTCACCCTACTCAAAAGTGACCCTGTGAACACTTGAGACATTAAAATGTCTGCTTGATGTGTAATCGTCACAATGCCGTCTGTCACATTGGAGAAGCATTTGCAAACGACTTATGACCTCACAGGCAGATACCTTGTGATTGGGTTGAAGATGTCAGTATGACAGAAATTATCTGCACCACTGAGCAGCCTTCAACAATTTCTCTGAAGCTTCGAACTTTCAGTCTTGGTCAGATACTCGTTTTCACGGATGATCAGACTGCTTCTTGGCCACACATTTGTTGGCATTGTGTAACATGCGGGACATTTTCCTTCATTAAACATGTTTTCATGCAATATCATCTTTGGCTACCTTAAAGGTCACATGCAACCAAAAAATCAAACATAATTAAAACACAAGTATCACTTATTCATGACATATAATATACATCACGCTGGTTATGACAAAACATATAAACAAAATTATAAGCGCACAATCGCAAATCAAAAGTGCAATATTTTGTACTTTTGGTTTACTTCCCCAAGAAACGAAGCAGCCGGGATACCAACCCAGTCAGAGCAGGTGGGTGTGCACTTCAAGTGTAACGGCTGGTTCATTTGCAGATGCCGCCCTCATGCACGGCTCATTGTGTGTGTATATATAGAGATGTTGGGTTTTGTAAATACATGCTCATTTTTGTGTATAACATTTTGCAATCAACAGACATCATAACACGTCATGTGTTAAGTATCACACCTGCCTGTCTGTGTAATTACATAATGTGACAGAGATCGAACTCGGGCCATAAATCAATGCATTTTGTTTATGGTGTATAGCCTGATAGGTGTTAAGTTCAAATTGCATGTGGTCAGTGATCGCAGTTGTGTATTGAATATTGTCATTAGCAGACAGGCAGGGCACACACACATGTCTCAATAAAACAAGACATTGAGTTTTGTCTGTGACAACAACATATCTATATCACAGTTAGAAATTCTGTCAACACTAAATAATGACATTGCTTTTAAGCATCGAACTGAGAAAGTGACTCGTAAGAAGAACGTGGGTGAAATAGACAAATGAAATTACATAAACAGTTAATTTACTGTCATAACATATCAAAAGCTCAAGCCAGTGAGATATCAACGCGAAACATTAGCAAAATAGCCTCACACCAAAGCCTTCACCGAAAGTATTCACCGACAGCCCGCCTCCAAGCTGCGCTAACCTATGTCACTGCGCACGCATATGAGCGCAGCCCAGCTGTTGGAACCACTTGAATTTCCCAAACGCTGGGGAAATTTAGTGAATCGTTTTGAACTAAGATTTCGCGCTTTTTTCATTGCGCTATTTTTCAACTTTATAAGTTGAATTTGCATTTTGATGATTTGTTTCGTAAGTCCATACCGAAAGATATCAGAATCTGCTATAACCAGGGTATTTAGAGTTGAAAACATTATATACATTTTATAAATATTTAAGGAAAATTTGAAGTTAAGTTCAGAAGGGTGAATGTACTGGGAAAGTGCGTTGACCAAGCTAACTGAACTGTTATTGATTTACTTTTCTTGGGGAATAACAAATTCTCTGAATTGACATAAATGAGGGTGAAACGTTCAAACTGGTGTTCCTACACAAATTGGGTGGATGGACATTTGGGATACAGATGGTCAGTTTGGTCAGTTTGTCAATAAAGGGGCATGCATAGGATCTGAAATGATTTTGATTAAGTATCTAGAAGCGTCTACTAGTCTGAGATATTAGTTAGATATGCCAACGTTGGGTTGATGTATGGCTTAAGGATAACTAGAAATGTCATTTTATCACTGGAAGAAATTGATGGTACCAAATAAAGTCTCCGAAAGGGACTAATGAAAGTAACTAATTATCAAGATTGGATATGAGTCATTTCTGAGGAGGTAGGACATCATTTCGGGGGGAGGAGCCCAGAAATTGTGAAGAGAACTAAAAACTAGTTGACTGAGAGAGAGCGGGAGAGACTGAGCCCTGCTGTTGACTTGAGAGGTTCTCTCTGCATATTGAGAGATTGGCTCAGATGAAATTGTAACTTTAGGAATTGGAAAAGAAACCAACAAGTTCTTCCAGGAGATGTGTGAATCTGTGTTACATGTAAACCAGGACATCTAGGAAATATTTGAGGACCTTTGTGAAAGAATTCATGTTAAAATAAACCGGACTTGAACACCATACTGGACTTATCCTTGATTATCCATCTAGCTACATCATCCCCAGAACCAGAGTGGCTAGACAGATTGCCTAGGTAATAAGGGTACAACACCCCGAAAACCTAAGGTAATAAATGGTGGAGATTGCTTTAAGTTCTCTGTACCGTGCTCAAAAGTTTTTTCCTGCTGTGTGAAAAAGTTATGATTGTGTTGGACTAACAATTCATGTGGAAAGGTACGTGAACTGTTTCCATCTCCTGCTATGGGTATGTGCTATGTGGACCTGGAAGAGACTGTAGCCATCCATGGTAGGTTATGTCCTGATTTACTGAAATAGGTGCATTTTGCCTTTCAACCGTGTGGACCTCTCCACGCCTGACAGTGAACATTAACTCTGTGGGCCCCGGGACTTATTGATTTTCTGGACAGTGTGGTCACTACCACTACAGTGTTATTGATTTCCTGGTGTTGGACAGTTTCAGCGGGACAGACCCCCAGCAGCCTACTTGTGTGATTAGTAACTTTCTTCAGTGTGCATTGACTGTTTAGCTTGTGTACTGTGATACTCTGATTTTTATCTATCTTGTGACTATTGTTTGTACCAATTATGTGTTATATCGCGTCATGTCATCTGATGATGAGGGTACAGTAGTAAGGTTTTCTACTCCCATTAACCGTGCTAATGCCTCTCTTGATTTGCCAGCATTCTCACCAACATTTGCTACTGTAACTAATCCAGTTGTTAGATCTCCTATTAGAGACAGAGGTGCATCCTTTATTTCACCAACTTCTCAGAAAGAGTTACATCGTTTTGCCGAGTCTACTGTAGATACAACTGTTACTATCAAAATGCCGTATGACAGAGAAGAGGGTGCGACAGCACACGTTAAGAAAGAGGGTCAGTCTAGTTTCTTTTCACAGTATCGTGGGGATAACCCAGACAGACTAGACAGAAGTGTTTGTACATTGGCTAATACTTTGGCCCTTGGTCACATCAATCTTGAGAAATTTGATGGTAGTGAATCAGCTAAGGCCAGTGCTTGGTTGAAACGTTATGAAAAGTTTACCTCTCTGAACAATTATTCTGATGAGGGCAAGAAAGAAGCTTTCAGTTTGTGGTTAGATGGCAAAGCTTTAAAATGGTTTGAGGCAAAAGATTTTGAGGATGATTCTTGGGAGGAAGTAAAAGCTGCTTTTCTTGCTAGGTACAAGCAAAATTCTGTGAAAATTTATGATAGGTTAGATATGTTGTACAGTAGGAAGCAAAAGACTCTGAGAACTTTGAGGACTTCCTACAAGACCTTGAACATGAGGCAAGGAGTCTTGATCGTTTTGACGACAACTTTGTTAAGGACGCTGTAATCAGGAATTCCAAGCCTCAGATAAAGCAGTTTATCCTAACTAGGCCTCACGATACAAAGGACCAGGTACTTCAGAGTGCAAGGATGGCGGATGCTGCATTTGGTAGCATGTCGCTCTCCTCAGACAATCTTGTGGCTGTTATAGAGGACCTTAAGGGACACATACTATCCTTGACATCAAGGGAGGATGCACAGGACTATAGAGACAATTCATATGGAAGACAACAAAGTGCTTCTCCTTGCCGAGTGACATTCCAGAGTGACATTCGGGACAATTCAGGATTTCAGCCTCGAGAGCCTAGTTGGACACAGAACTTTTATAGCTCTCAGGGACAGAAACCAGGATCTCTGTATCAGAGGTCTAGGTCCATAGACAGACCTGGGTACTATGGACCATATGAACCATATGGACCCTATGAACCATATGGATGGTACACAGATGCCACATCCTAGGAGGATATGCAGAGGTTGCGGTAGGACACATTTTAGTATGTCTGAGTACTTTGCTAGAATATTACAATGTTATTGATGTGGTAGGATAGGCCACATTAGCTGATTCTGTTTTTCTGAGCCAAACTTTTGCCAAAGTCACAGTGTGATGCTAAATGAGGGTGTGAACCTGCTGACGAATTAGCACACGTTCATGATAATGCCATTAAGAGCGGTAGGCACACATTTACAATTGAAGATGATCAAGAGCCAAATCACAGTAAGAATATTGATTTGAGTGATGTTGTTATTTTGACATGTAGTGTGGGACTATCCCATAGCAGTGTTAGGGTTAAGATTCAGGGAAATCATACAATGTGCTATGTGACTCAGGTGCCAGTTTGAGCTGCATGAAATCAGATATTTTCTCATTTAACAAGAATGAGAGCTATTTTCCTATTACAAGACAAGGTGCAAGGGCATTGGTTGGAGCAGATTGGAATCAGTTAAATGTTTTAGGTATATCTCAAGCATTGATCAAGCATTTCATGTACATTCAACATATCTGTTGATGCATTGTTAGGTTTACATTTTTGGTTACAGAGACAGTAAATTACCATTGATTTAAGTCGCAATGGATTGACTCAGTAACTTACACTTAAGGACTTGCAGAGACAAAGTTATTGCTTCTTTTGCTAATTCCAGTGTCCAGTATAGAGACACTATTACATGTTAAGTGAATAACCCAGACACTGAATTAGGAGTCATTGAACCAATTGAGTCTGTTACAAGATTTTTACATGTGTTAGGTACTAGAGGTATCACTTCACCTATAAATCAAATAGCATCATTTAGATTGATAAACACTACCAGTTGAGAAATTAAAATACCTGCTTTGGTAGGAATATGGGTAATAGAGAAAGTTGTCTTTGAGAATATGTATAGTGAGACCAATACTGGAAACAACACACACATTATACAAGTCGACACAGGTGACAGTTTTTTTACCAAGTTGACTCTGACAGTAGGACTCAGATGTTAGGTGACAGTTTTTGACTGATAGTGTTGAAGACTATATGACAAATCCTGATATGGTTTTGGCCATGCACTCAGGTACACATGGTAACTTGCCTCCATGTCGGATAAACACAGTGACCTGTCATTACAGGTTGGCTCACCTATTGATGGCCCATCTATCTGTGTACCCTGTCAATTGTGCAGGTGACAACGTCAGATTGTTTAATGATGTACACATACACACTGTACCTGTTGGTGATGACACAGGTAGGTCATCTGGTGTCACTGATATGACTACAGGTAAGTCATCGGGTGACACTGGCATGACTATAGGTGAGTGTTCAGGTATGTCCACAGGTACACCATCAGGTGTTCCAGGTGTATCAATATGTGATATAAGTTAGAGCAGGAAATCACAGGTGGTACCACAGGTGTAGTTACACCTACCCAGGTATGTTTCCAGATACCTTACCTGAATCTGATTTTGACAATTTAATGTCTGCTGTAAGTGACATGACAGACAAACCAAATAGCTGTTTTAGGGACGAAAAGGGTTAAGTAGGAAACACAATAAATCTTAGCAAGGACCATTCTTTGGAACCAGTCCTGCAACAGAGGACAGACAAATTGAAGCAATAGAGAATGTATGTTGGATTACAGGAGGTAAATTGTACGAGGTCCGGTATGTAGGTGTCACAGAAAGTGAATAGGTCCTATGGGAATTTCTCCCAGCAGAAATAGTGGAAGACTTCCACATCAGAAAAACAATGAAAGAAAGGAAAAGCGAAACGGAAGCAAAAGACCAAACGATAAGACTCCTGATCTAAATGTTCCTGAATCTCTGAGTATAAGATAGTAAGACATATTTCTAAGTCCCACTTTATCATGACACGTGTCAACTTATATGGGTACCCAAAAGTTATGAGAATTGTTATGGAAAAGTCGCGGAGGACATGCCCGCGCCTATGAGAATTGATGTATATGAGGCGGAGAGACCGCATTTGTGAGAATTGATGAATATGAAGCAGAGGGACATGCCTGCACTATGAGAATTGATGTATATCAAGCGGAGAGACCGCACCAGTGAGACTTGATGAATTTGTAGCGAGAGAGACCGCCTTGGTTATGAAGCAGAAGGACTGCATTCGTGAACGGAAAAGCTCAAAAGAGTCTAGAGATGACTGACACTCTCTAGTGTGGGGTAGATTGGCATCTACCTCAGGTTGCTGAAATATGAGGACAGTCGAAAGACTAACGATGAATTCATTCGGGACGAAGGATGGAGTGTCGATCTATCTCGTAGCCTGGGTGAAGACCTATAAATCGGTCGTGGAATGTAAGCGGAGGCCAATTACATCAATGGGAGACAAAAATTTTTTTCCTGGTCAGAGGCGTTTTATGAGTACAAGACGCACAATCATTTGGATAGACCAAAGTAAGAGATTAACATAGGAATGACTACCTATGACTGGGACAGAACTGACTTAAGTGATTAAACAGTTTAACAAGACCTTCTAGATGGAATATTTGACTGACTCCACGAGTACTGCGTGTTATTTTCTCATGAACTAAGGCTGTATGAACAGTGTAACTGTTCTTCAGTTAATTGAATGTTACAAACATTATCTATGAGATATTGATACGTTGTAGGGTACATTGGTGACGACCAATTGGGATTGTTAAATATTCCTATATTTGAGAGAGATACTGACTTGATGATTAGGAGAGGAACAGAGTATTTGAAAACAGGAACTTATTCGGATGTTTGTGTTCTACAGGACCCTTCGGCTTCACAATTAAAGTGATGATGACACTTCTGACGATGTGGAACTCAATACCACTGACGACATGTGTTTTAGATATCTATGGGTTTCTTTGGGGTACTACCTTTAGTCATTATAAGGGAGAAATCTTGACGTATGAACAGACATAGTATCATACATTGGTAATAAAATTGACTTCCAAAGGATAGAAATACTCAAATACTACACAGCTTCTAAGGTACAGACATTACAATACTACTATGTCTCTATGATGTTACCAGTAACGTCCAATGACAGAAAAACTCAACTTTATCAAGAAAAGTCATTCGAAGAGTGTCTTCAAGAGCCATAAAGTTAGTAAAAGAGAATAAGATAATTTACATATACCCAACTGACTCTATCTTAATGAATAGATGGTCTATGATTGGGAACATGCAATGGATATCAAGACCATATCTCATATATGGGTGCTTATTTGTACTCATAATTTTATTCATTTCTGTTTCCACTGGTACATGGAAGTGAACAATATCCAATACTTATTCATGAGTTAGGTAGTCTTTCTGCTCCACCACCTTGCTCAACAGTAACACAAACAAGATATAAAGTTAATTTCACCTTCAGTTCCTTCAAGACAGGAGAACTTTGTGATGACTTTCAAGTTTCATTTTAAAAGCTGATGTGACTTTGAATTATCTAATTCATTTTACAAACTTACGTGAACTCAGACGTACTAGTGTCCTCATGTATAAATGATTCCATATTGTATTCTGATGTTGCATGCTTTATACATTCATAATTTGGATGTATGATATGGTGTTGTAAAACTATCGTGATTTGTAAAGAAAAAGGAAAGAAAAAATGTTCAAGAATCCAAACTTTCGATATTTTGATTTGATTTGTAATACCTATAATGTTTGCATTTATTATACTCAATCAGCAATTGCTACTTTAAACTTGTATTTGATCTTACATGTCTTCTACACTTCTCAGATAGGTACAACCTAAGACAGATCCTATCTGAGACACTTACCTGTATTTGAATTTTGCGTTTTCTGGTCCTCAAATATGTAGTTAATTATTTGATATTTCTCATTGATATTATATTCTTGACTTATTGATATGTAAACAATTGTTATGTATTTGATATATGTGTATGTATGTTAGAACTTAAGCCATTTATCAGTCGCATGGGACATGCTCTACAACGGGAGGGGCATGTATAACCAGGGTATTTAGAGTTGAAAACATTATATACATTTTATAAATATTTAAGGAAAATTTGAAGTTAAGTTCAGAAGGGTGAATGTACTGGGAAAGTGCGTTGACCAAGCTAACTGAACTGTTATTGATTTACTTTTCTTGGGGAATAACAAATTCTCTCAATTGACATAAATGAGGGTGAAACGTTCAAACTGGTGTTCCTACACAAATTGGGTGGATGGACATTTGGGATACAGATGGTCAGTTTGGTCAGTTTGTCAATAAAGGGGCATGCATAGGATCTGAAATGATTTTGATTAAGTATCTAGTAGCGTCTACCAGTCTGAAATATTAGTTAGTTATGCCAACGTTGGGTTGATGTATGGCTTAAGGATAACTAGAAATGTCATTTTATCACTGGAAGAAATTGATGGTACCAAATAAAGTCTCCGAAAGGGACTAATGAAAGTAACTAAT